AAGTACTAATGATTTATTAGTTTGAGTGAAAAAATCTTGATTTTAAAATATAGTTTTAAGTATTAGAAGGGTTTTTTCTTATAAGGTACAACATAATTTGATTTCGCATTAATTAGAATTTGATGTGATTTTCAAATATAAAGAATTTAGTTTTTAAAAAAAAAAAACATATGGCCTAAGTGGAGACATGGGAAACTGAAGGTGAGAAGCGAAGACCCAATTGAGTGTTTCCTATGTGGCCATAACCATGGCCCGAGTGGAGATGTGGGAAAATGCAAGCGAGAAGGAATGTGGGACTTGTAATGATGAAAGGTAAGAAAAATAAGGTAGTGTGACTGGGACCAGAAAACGTGGCCCCTTTGGTCACTTCTCTTGGTGTCCCTGTTTTTGTTGTTCCTCTTGTGTTGTTCTGTTGGGTGGATATATGGGTCCTATAGACTATTCATCCCCTGCGGCTGATTTGGACATATTAATCTTCTATCTGCATTGTTCAAAGACCTTCAGTTCCATCTCTTTATCAACCAACCTAAGGTCTTGTAGTAATCTCTCCTCCAAAGCTTAAAACCTAGGCCCTAAGGTTTCCTTTATTATGATTTACTTTGTTCTTCTTATTATTGTCAGTTTCTTACGTTGTCCAATTTATTTGGCTCCTTACATTAAGGAAGAAAATTTTAGGTGCAAGTTTTAAGGCCAACTCCATTATCATACCATTAGATAATCTAAATGATGTGGTGGTTATTATTTAAGTTACAGGCTTCATATAAAACTACTTGCGGTAATATTATTCATTCTATTTTTCAATTCTTTCAATGCTGCATGTTGCTGTCATTAGGTGCACAGATGCAGTTTTCTTTATATTTTGGTTAACTGTCAAATTTAGTTCTTGAATTTTTAATCTTAAACAATTTTAGTTCAGAAACTATTTTTTACACTCTTTATTCATCTTTAGTTATGAAAAATATAGTTTTTTTCGTCCTTTAGTTAGTTTTGTCCATTAAGTTTGTACAATTGGTATTTTTTAATCTGAACTTTTGCTTTATGTACATTTTTTTTATCTATTAACTAATATTTGTTGCACATTTTTAGCTTCTAGACTTTTGTTTTATGTACATTGAGATCATTAAGAGAAATTAAAAAATGATCACGGGATAAACTCGGCAGTCAAAAACTGACAAAAGGGAAAAAAAAGGTGTATTTTTATAGTTGAGGGACAAAAGGTGCAAAAGAAGTTAAGGACTAAAATTATTTTAAATTAAAAGTTTAGGGACTAAATTTGCCATTTAACCTTATATTTTCGATGTTGATGTTTGCTTTCAATGAAGTTTCTTGCAGGTAAAGAGCGTCAAAGCACACCCAACAAGTTGTGAGCTAGTATGTCATTTATATATAATTAAGCCAAGGCAATTTTCATACACTTCCTAGCATATCTGTCATACCATGGAAGGTGTCAAATGCATTTCCTTCATTCTTCTTCTTTTTCATCTTCTCCTTCCATCTTCTGATTCATTAAGCTTTCAGATATCTTGCTTTGACCCAAGTTCTACTGATGTTCTCTACCAAGGAGATGCAGTGCCTTCTGTGGGACCTGTTGACTTAATCAACAAACTTAATTACGTTTGTCGAGTTGGTTGGGTCACCTATGCACAGAAAGTCTTGCTCTGGGATTCCAACTCTGGAAAGCTTTCAGACTTTAGTTCTAATTTCTCCTTCACCATTGACGCACAAAATGTCGCTAAATTTGGCCATGGAATTGTTTTTTTTCCTTGCTCATGTTGAATTTCAAATCCCACCCAACTCCGCTGGTGGCTTTCTCGGCTTATTCAACACCACGACTAGTTATTTCCCTTTGAACAAGATTGTCACTGTGGAATTTGACACTTTCAATAACCCTGAATGGGATCCTCAAGATGTTCAATCTCATGTGGGAATTAACAACAATACCATTGCCTCTGTTGTTTACACTTCTTGGGATGCGAGTTTTCACAATGAAGACATCACTGATGTAATGGTTTCTTATAATTCTACAACCAAAAATTTGAGTGTTTCTTGGAGCTCTCAAACAACCAAAAATCCTTTGGAAAATTCAAGCCTTTCTTGTCAAATTGATCTGGCAAAGGTGCTGCCAGAATGGGTAACAATTGCGTTTTCGGCTGCTACAGGACAATATGTTGAACAACATACACTTCGATCTTGGCAATTCCATTCAAGTTTGGATTCAAAGGAAACCATTAGAAATTTGTCAATAAAAATCAAAATTGTTGTTGGTACTGTAGTACCAGTGGTTGTTCTTCTCATTGGAGCATTTCTAGCATCTATAATTATTAAGAAGAGGAAGAAAGGGAAGAAAAAAGCAGAGGCAATGAATTTAACATCAATCAATGATGATTTTGAGAAGGGCACGGGACCAAATAGGTTTTCTTACCAAGATCTTGCTTCTGCTAGTAATAATTTTTCTCAAGATAGGAAATTGGGTGAAGGAGGTTTTGATGCAGTTTATAAGGGCTATCTAGCCAATATAGACATGTTGATTGTTGTAAAGAGGATTTCAAAAAGATCCAAACTAGGGAAAAAGGAGTATGTAACAGGGGTGAAGATCATTAGTCAGTTAAGCCATTGGAATTTGGTGCAGCTCATTGGTTGGTGCCATGAGAAGAGTGAGTTCTTGCTAGTTTATAAGTTCATGTCAAATGGTAGTCTCGATTCTCATCTTTTTAGCAAGAGGAGTCTTCTTTCTTGGCCTGTGAGATATAGAATAACTCTTGGAGTAGCCTCGGCAGTTTTGTACCTTCACGAAGGGTGGGAGCAGTGTATACTGCATAGGGATATAAAGTCTAGTAATATAATGCTAGATTCCAATTTTAATGCCAAGTTTGGTGATTTTGGGTTGGCTAAGTTGATGGACCACGATGTAGGTCAGATGACAACAGGTTTGGCAGGTACTTTAGGTTACATGGCTCCAGAGTACATAAGAACAAGGAAGGCAAGTAAGGAGTCAGATGTGTATAGCTTTGGGGTGGTGATATTAGAGATTACTACTGGAAGAAAGTCTACAGATTGGATGGATGAGTCTAATGTGGGGATGTTGGAGTGGGTTTGGGATCTTTATGGAAAAGGAAGGGTTCTTTCTGGTGTTGATGAGAAAGTGCAAGAAAATTTTGATGAAAGACAAGCAGACTGTTTGATGATTGTGGGATTATGGTGCATTCATCCTTATAGCAGCTCAAGGCCCTCAATTAGACAAGCAATTCAGGTTCTTAACTTTGAGGCACCCATGCCAAGTTTTCCTCCAAAAATGCCTGTGCCAATATATTGTGTTCCTACACCATCAATGAGCCTTGGAGAGATTACTAATTCTAGCATACAAGTAGGTCGTTAGACATCATTTAATTGCCTTTTCATTGTGTAAACTGTCCAATTATCTGATAATATTCTAGACTTCTTGAAGTTGGATTTGAATTCTTAGATAAATTTGTTAAAATATTGTGAATTGAGTCTTGTTCCTATTAGAAAAGACTAGAACAGATGGTTATTAATTCTTGACAGTGTTTGCCTAGCAAGAAAGGCAGCATAAGAATCATGAGTGAATAACTTAAACCCAATTATCCACACCCAATTGTGAAGGTGTTTGTAGTCGTATCCATTGAATTTTTTATCTTTGCTTCTTCCATCATTCAAGTATCATCAATTGAATCTTCTACATTTTACAAATTCATTAACTTAAGTTGGGCATGAACCCCTTTTTTTTTAAATTTTTTTAAATTTTTTATGTAGCTTAGGCATAAATGATTATAATTAGATGCTTCTAGATCCTAAATTATCTTCTAACAAGTAGTTTCCTGCACTAGGTGTAATTATTTGCTCTTCTTAAACAATAGGTTATACTTGATATTTGGGCAATCAATAAGAAATGGGTTTAGAGTTTGTTTACACCATAAATTACAAATTTATTTGATAATGTCACATGTCACCTTATTTGAATGAGTGGTTATGATTAAGCCATATCGGAGTTGATGTTACTGTGATCTGGAGCCTAATAGACCTTGTTGATGGTTGTCACATGTCCAACTAGATTTGGTATTTTTTGTAGTTATGCCTTATTTATGTGATGGTATTTAACATTAGTGGAGATCATGGCTAAATTTTAGGAGAAGTTGCAGGCCAAGTTCAATTAGTGGGTAAAGCAGCAGACAAATGGCAAGTTTTGGAGAGAGTTTTGACTAGGTCTACTATTGAGTTGTCTAGCTACTTGAGAAAATTTGCCATGTTTTGCACAAATGGGAGTAGGTGGTTATCATATTCCTTGAGATATACAAAAAAGAAAAATTCAAAAGAAGTAAGGGATGGTTGGCCTTACATGTAACTCACCAAATCCAGCTTTTAAGTTTCATAGCTACTGTTAACACAACTCATAGACCTTAGTTTTAGGATAGTTTCTAGTCAAATTTAGGTTATTTCTAACTGCAACAATAATCTTTTTGTTTATTTAGTGATTTTGAAATAAGTGTCATTTTTCAAATTTCAACTTATATGACTTTCATGCTTCTCTTTCATATTCATGTCAATTTCAATTTTATTTACCTAAACATCATGATTACTTAGCATTACTCTAGCTTTAAGCTCATTTACTTTTCCAAGTTTTGCAAAAAGTTACTTAAATCTGCCAATAGTTGTTAGTTCATGCTTCATTCATTTTATTTTGGATCTTTAAACTTTAAGTTTACAATAATGTTCTAAAGTCCTTGGAGATATTTAAGGCAAACCAATAATCCATTCGGTAAAAAGACGTCCCTTCCTCCTATAAATCATCTAAAGGCATAAAACTCAATTTTAAACTAATGTTCTTCTAACCATCCAAACAGAGGTTGATCATGTGGAAGCATATGATCATTGGAAAAATCCTATTTTCTTACCTCATAGCAAAGTGGCATGTCTCGCACCGAGTCTGCCACGCACATGTGTCGCTTGAAGATTTTTGAGGAAATTGAGTCCTTTTTCAAGTGGGTTAAAAAGTGTTAAATTTGGGTAATTTTTTAGATATTTAAATGGTTTTAACCTTTTAATTATATTATTTATTATTATTATTACTACTCCCAATCCCAAATAGCTGTGTTTTTTACTTTGAAATTGTTTTAAATAAATTGTTGTTTTTTATTTTT